AGGAGATGTGGGGGATGGGTTGGGAACAGGAGGTTCTGAGCAGGGTAGGACCTTTCGCTTTTGAAAACCCAAGGTTGCATCATCTGAATTTGTCTCTGAAAGCACAGAGTGACCATGACACAAAGGGGAGCTGTACTTTCTAAATGCCTGAATGTTGCCTCTGACTTCCCTTTTTGGTATGTTACTAAAGATGGCCAAAAAAAAATTTGTTTTCATTTAATTTGAGACAGTGATATACCTACAGAATCTCTTAGTGCCCTCAGAAGCACATCTGGACTTCAGAGATCAGAAAGCAACAACTTCTGTTTGTGGATATACAGAAGGAACATTTTTATCAGTGCCAATCTTAAGCCATACCATATTCTTTGAAAATACATTTTCAAAAGCACTCTACATGAGCTGCAGAATTTCAAAATCTTAATGCATTTCAAAATTTTCATCTTTTACTTAGGTAAGAAAAAGTGTAAAGACTGGGGTTTTGGAAGACAGAGGGGAGATGCTGATGAAATGGAGAATCAAGCCCTTACAGAAATGCAAGTGTCTGGTTGTGAGGGGACAAAATACATTGTTCTTTGAAAGGCTGTCCTTTTCTCTTGGTAATCCAAACAAAAGATTACACTCCTTTTTAAAAGAGGATAAAGCAGTAGGATTCTATACTGGCCAATTTGTTACACTGTGCTGATTTAACACTGTTTTGTCCAGTTTTATTGCAGTGATATTTCCCATTAATTTTGAAAGTTGAGGACACCATTACCTGATGATGTGATTGAGCTACAATTATTTGGCCTGTAAATAGTTTTCTGAACATTGGGCTTTGGTTATCCTGGAGGTTGAATTATGGCTTCATTTGAACTAACAGGGACTAATGTTTTGCAATAGAGTTTAAAAATAAAATTAATTCTTTATAGAAGAGCATTGATATCTGCAAATAATCTTTAACCATGTCTGCTGTGCTGTATAGAATGCATAGCAGCTAGTTTTGAAATTTTCGCTTTTAACTGATTAACTATTTTGCTTCCAGGAAATAAGATTAAATTTTCATTTGAAGATAAAGAAATTGAATAAGTTAGCCATTCTAGAACACTACCAGTGTATGAAAATGTTGGTTTTTTTCATCAGGCTTTCTTCTAAGTTGTATGGACTGAAATGCTTCTAAATGGTAATATATATTTTTAAAATTGTAATGTATATTTTAAAATTGTGTTTAAAAAAACCACATCTGTTGCTATTGTCTGCTGCTATTAATGTATAGTACTGTCATTTTTAAGATAGAAAAAACAATAACATAATTAAAATTAAAAGGGCATACAAAGACCCAATGTTTGCTAAATGAAAGTACCTCTTGGCCAGGAATTTATTAGTCTGATACCTTATGGAACAGTTTTGCCACAAAAAAACCCCCTGTACCAGATCAATTAGGAAGAATGATCCATAAACTAGGAAGAAGAAGTTATCAAAGAAGAAGGAGCTATTAAAAAATAATTAGAAATACATGACCTACAGTTCATGATCTACAGTTGTTTGAGCACTCACAAAACAAATTAACATAGTTTGAGAAGTAGGGCATTAGTGCTGTGCTGGCTTCAACTGTATGGCATAGAAGGGCAGTGTTTGTGAATGGAAATAGTAAAGTCCCGAGGTCCTACAAAGTTGGATTTTGAACCTGTTTTTTTAATATTTCCATCACATATATGGAAAACATTTAAAACTGTTACTGATAAAAGATTAGAGACAACAAACAGCTGAATAAACAGATAAAATAGTCACTCAGTTACTGATAAAGAGAAGATAAGCTCATTAACTGAGCTAGGCTCAGACACACAATGTATTTTTCAGCACATCCAAATATAATGTTGTGTCTTGAAATAATAAATGCACACTATATTTCCATCTTTATTCCAGGAAACAATTATCCTTTAAGGAGAAAACCCTCTTTCCCAAGAACAGGGAATCGCAGTTGTTAGTTAAAGCTGGACTTGTGTTATCATGCTTTGGCTGAAAGGCCTCATACATCTAAGAGCTGCAATACTGAGGCTGTATTATCTCTGTATTTGGTGGGGATCTGAGAAAATCTGGAATGCTGGTTCCAGATGGGTGTGCTTCAAGAAGGACATAGGAATCTGGAGATGATTCAGGGTAGAGTAAGAATGATGAAGGAATTGGAAATGTGCTGTTTGCTGAAAGATTTAGAGCTCAGGCTGTTAAGCCGATCAAAATTGTGGTTGACACCATATGATCATAGTCTTAACATATTCATGTGGGAGCAGAAATGTGATCATAGATAGGGTCTCCTTCTAGCAAACAGATATAATAAGAATCAGCAGCTTTGTAGTTGATGTCAGCCAAATTAGTTTGGAAATAAGGTGCAAAATTGTACAGGGAAGGGAGTTAGGCACTGGAAGAACTTACCAAGAGGTGTGATGCATTTACAAACACTGGAAATACTGTAATTAAGATTGCATGTCTTTCTGAAAGACTCACTGTAGTTTAGGAACACGGCATTAATGCAAAGTAGAAATTGATGTGTGGAGCTTGTAAATTTAGTAATCACAATACTCACATCCTTACTTAAAGTCTACAGCGCTATTTGCAGTGCAGCATAGTGGTTCATTCCTGCTCACTTTGAATCTGGTTTAACCATTAGAAGAATTTTTTTTTTCAGTATTGTGCAATGTGGTGCAGGTATCTATGCTGTCCCTGAACAAGCTGGGGTGGATACTAAAAGCACTGAAGCTATGATAGCATGGTTTTGTATCAGGAGTCATATATATATATATATATACTGTGTTCTAGCAGGGCTGAGCTATTTGTATGCATGGCTTGGTGATCACAGCTGCTTGCTCTCTCTTAACAACCTCCTGCAGGCAAGGGGTCCTTGAAGACCTTGGGAATCGTATATAAAACCCAGGATTTATCTTTTAGTAGAGGCAGGTTTCCAAAAAGAGATTATTTTTTTACTCTTTTGTTGTTGTTGTTGTTGTTGTGTGGTGCTTGTTTTTTTGCTATGTTTAGTTTTTTGTTTTGATTGTACATGGCTCCAGTTTGAGAACAGTTGAAATAAAAGTTACAAGTTATTTACTGCAAGAGACCATATTGGATTCAGGAAACTGGTGGTGTGAAAATAATTGGAGGCTGAGACATGGTGAAGGAACACACTGAAGGCCCTATTCTTACTTTTCCCTAAACACTGAGTTATCTCCAGAGATAAGATGCTGGACTGCTGGATTACTGGTGTGATCACATGTGAATTTTCCTATATGCTTTCTAAGAGTGTCTGTTTCATACTACTATATTCTGAAAAATGAAATCTGTAACTTTAAAGACAGTTTGTAACATATCAAAATGTGAACCTCTCGGAATAAATAAATGCAACAGAATCTTTCTTTAAAATGATAGTAGGAGGATTTAAAAACAAACAAACAAAAACAACCCCCCTGAACTTTTACACTGATTAGTTGTATCAGTTTTACCATGGCAACTTGTACTTGATTGTATCAGTTTTATCATATCAACTTAAAACTGGAGCATAAGTTTTGTTCATTGAAGTGTTTTGATGTATTGGACAGATTTACAGTACAGGTAATGCCTCTGCTCTTTCAGTATGAGTTTCCAGTGCTGGCAAAAGAAAGAAATCGGCCTATGTAACTGGATTACTTTCCAAGTGTTGAAATGCCTTTTTCTGTCTTGTTTAGCTCTGAATGTTGTCAAACCACTTCATAGTACAGTATATGGATCATGTTTGTAGCCTGTGAGTTGCCAGCACATCTGTGGATGAGCTGCTCTGAGCCACTGATTGAGTCATTGTTAGAAGAGCAAAAGAATTAGAAAAATATTGAATCGGAGGGAAAGCTGCATTATTAAGGCATTGTCTTTGTGTATTCTATTACACAGATAACACAGGGCTGCCCAACTGGAGACTGTGCTGGTGTAGACATTAAACTAAAGATCACAGTATTCAGAAAATATAATAAGATAGTGCTGTCTTGGGCTTTTCCACTTGATGACTAATGGTGCACCAGCAGTACACTATGTACTTATCTTAAATATCAGACTGTAACTGTTCTTGAAAGATTAACATACACATTAATCAGATTTTTTCTGGTGTGCATGTCTAAAAGTTTATGAAAATTTTTAATGCACCTTATTAGTATATTAATTTTAAAATGCATATTATGGAATTGGAGACTTTGCTGCTGTATTTCTGACCAAAGGTATCTGATACTGTTTGATTCTAGGCAATTTAGTGTGTAGTTGCAATAACCATCAAGATATTTGAGTGTGGTGAAGCTTTATATTCCCATCAGATTAAAAATATTTTGCTTTCATTGTTATGTTGCATAATGGACACAGATTTGTTTTTTGATTAAAGATGCTTAGATCACCTTCTATATGCTATATATTTATTTGTAAATTATATCACGTAAAGATTTTACAAACATTGAGATGTAAAATTAGAAAATGTTGCTTCTAATTGCCATGTAAAACTTAAATAAGGAGCAGTAATCCATGTATTTTCTTGCTGAAATTTTTATTTAACAGTTTTACTTTCTGAATAGCTACAATTCATAGGAATATAGGAACTGACTGTGCAGAGATATCAGTGAAGGATTTCTTTGTATGTGCATCTTTCAGTATTTTCAGGATTCAAGTTTTTATGGACTACTTTTTAAAATTCTTTATTCTATTTCAGGAATGTTACAGTTTGCATTAATAGTGTAAATTTATATACAGTGGATTCAATTTTTGTTTTTGATATTTGCTTAAAATTGAATGGAAATTGTAAACATTTTTTGTAGTAAATATAAACCCATCCTATTAATTACTCAATTTAGTCTTTTAGGATAATTTTTCTTTCACTGGAAATGCAAGAGTGGAAAAGTAGCTATGTTCTAACACTGCTAATAATGTCCCATATTTCATATGTTCCACAAATAGAACAAGTAAGAAATCATAAGAGTTGTAATTTGATGACATTTTGGGGGTTTGTTTTTCTGTTTCAGTCAGTGGCGAAGACTGGGCGATTGCTGATTAGCCATGAGGCTCCCTTGACAGGAGGTTTTGCATCTGAAATCAGTTCCACAGTTCAGGTACAGAGGTTATTTGTTTTTAAGTGTTCTGCATGGCTGAGTATGTTTACTTATAGAAGAAATACTTATTATTACATTAAAAGTTTTGCATTTTTATTAAATTTCAGTTTTGTGGATGCCTACCTTTCTTTATCTGAACAACTGAGAAATCATCTACCTACCAGGCACTGTGCATAGTGCCTGCTAAGCTACAAATTTAACTTTCACTGCAAGCAGGGAGAATGCACTGTCAGATGTGGAGGAAAAATCTTTATGTATAATCTGTTTTTGATTTACTTTTCTTTTCCTGATACACTTATCCCTAAAGCTTCTTAAAAATACATTCTAGCAGTGTTGAAATCAGACACAGAAAAAGCACTCAGATCCAGTACAGTATAACGTGGGGTTACACATCGTATTCAGAGACCTGATTAAAAGAAAGGAGTCTGCAGAAGTTGTTCATGTGTAGTTGAGGTGCTGACACACGTGTTGAGCTTGTATGGTCAGAACAGGTTTGAAAGGCTGTACATCAGTACCAGTTATTTCTGGAGGATTAGGCTTCCTTAAAAGTCCTTTTAAGCTTTCTGTTGTGTTTTATATCTGTACCAGCATACAGATTTTCTCCTTACCTTGATTTTTTTTATGTGCACACCAATGACACTGGGTTATAGAAACATTAAACTAAATGTGCCCATCACCACCTGATAACTATTTTCTGAGTATTCTCTATAGGACTAGAGAGACATGAGATTCTAAAATTCATAAAATATAAACTGTATGGTCAGTAATTAAAGCTTAGGAATCAACCTTTTTGTAGGAAGGAATAGAGTTAATAATTTTGGGAATGTAATTTTAAATTAAATGTGCATAAGGAATCAGAAAACTATGTTTCTTGAGCTTTGTGGTACAACTTTTTTTAAAGAGTAGTTGTACTAATTTTAACATCATTATATTAAGGTAATTAATTTTTTCTATCAAAATGTTTTTCTCTGTTAAGAATCAAATATTGTATGCATGGAAACCTCATAGCAGCCTTCCAGTAGCTGAGAGGGACTCTTCATCAGAAACTGTAGTGACAGGACAAGGAGTAAAGGGTTCAAACTGAAAGAGGAGAAGTTCAGGGGAAGAGGGGAAAATAGGTTAGATATATGGAAGAAATTTTTTACTGTGACGCTGGTGAGGCACTGGCACAGATTGCCCAGAGAAGTTGTGGATGCCCCGTCCCTGGAAATGTTCAAGGCCAGGCTGGATGGGGCTTTGAGCAACCTGATCTAGTGGAAGTTGTCCCTACCTATGACCTTTTGACCTCCTTTCTTTAATACTTATTCTCTTCGATTAAACTATGATTAATAAAATCCCAAGGTACTGCCAAATGTGAGTGTAGAAAGTGATAATATTTTAAAAATTCTTACAAAAATGTGAAATAACCGAAAGAGGCTGTCTTTTAGTGTCTTATGTTATTATTTACACTTGAGGAGAAAACTGTTCTAAGCCCTTTAGTGATGTCATAATTTACTGATATAACAAAAGAAAGCATGTATTCAAGAAAAAAGTTGAGCTGAAAAGAAAAAAAGCTTATCAGTAAATATAATTGGAAGAGCATGGGATGCCCAATATATTGCTAAACTACAACATGAGTTTTTAATCTCCTCACACTTCCACTGACAAAGCTACTTACCCAGTTGATCCATCTTGGTGTTGTTTTTCACATCACAGATATATCTTGGCAATTATCTCTTATTTAGAAAACAAAGTTTAAAATGCTTTAGTAAAGAGCTATTTATTTGTTTTATTACAGTTACTCATAATTTTATATTCATATTTCTTAGGAAACTAGGCTTTCTGTCTTGAGAAATATTAGTTAATCTATCACATGTGCTCCCTCAGAATAAACTGGAATATAACTCGTTGGGATTGAATTTATCCATGACAAGTTTCTGTCATATAAATGGGTTGACCCGAGTCTGTGTTTTGGTTGCATTCTCGTTACGCTGTATATCCATTCTTGAAGATTCTATCATCCATAGTAAAATTTTGATATGAATTACTTTAAAGGTAATACTGCAAAAGATATTAGAATAATATTTACAAAACATTACAACTTTTTAAAGAACAGTATTGCTTTAGGCATAATAAAGACCTTGCCTTTCCTGCTCAGTTAAAAAACGCGATCTCTAAATGGTCAAGTCCATATGTCTAATATCACTGTGCTGTAAAAATAAAAACAAAAAGTGAAATTCTCTTTTGCTGGATACAATCTATACTGGGAATGCCAAAAATTGGCGATTGCACTTGGCTTTAGTTTCCTCTTACACATGGAAGTAATAGTACTTCAATAAAGTGTGTCCAGTTGGATTAGATGGTTAGTTTCCATATTGTTATTCCATCCTTGCTGTGAGGTCTCTTGTCATAGAAATAAGGTGAATTAAAGTACATAGGTTATTTTAGAAGTTAATAGTCACAAACACTTCATGGTGATGTACACTTCAAGGAAAAGAGTACAAATGGAAATGATGGCTTTCACTCATGAACTGTAGGAAAAAACTACATGGAATAGTTTTCTTTTTTCTTGTGTGAGATTAAAAGCAGTGTTTGGAGAGCATATTAAATCAGATTTGTTTTGTGTTGAATACAGAATATTTTAAAGGGGCATATTATTGCACTAAGTAGTCTTTACTCTGCTCAAACATATAAAACTAAGAACAAGATGAGATGGTGTGGTTAAAACTCTACATGATATGACTTTGCCCTTTGTTCCGGTGTTTTGTATGTGATCTCAGCAAGTAGTCTGAAGTGAGCAACAAATGTTAGGATAAATTCAATACAGCCACAGTTAATATTCCAAATTGATTGTATTCTGTATAAAAGCTTGCAAAAATGTCATGTTCAGTAGAGAAGCCATTAAACTTTTGCTTAAGGCATATGGTTGGAGCACAGTTTGAGAAGCCTTGGGAGAAAGGCCCACGGAGATGTTGCTTACAAAATAATGAAGAATCAGGTGTGGAATTCATCAGTACATTAATCACTTGTAATACAAAGGAGCGTAAATCCAGTAATTGTGTCTGTTTTAGAAAAACAAAAATAAAAAAAAGGGGGGAAAAAAAAGAAACAGGATGTTTTCAGAGAGGGATAAGTGGGCTGAAAAAGGGAAGTAGGAGTAGACTCTGTTGTGTGATAAAAAGCTCAGCTGCCCGTGCAGATACACACAAAGGAGCCCAGTGGCTCAGTAGGCAGGGGAACCCAAATAACTCAGTCTGGGAAATGGAGCCCCCAGCTCAGCTCCTTCAAAGGCTGTCACCAGCCTCAGCCCCATGGGCCAGGGTGGAGACAGCCAGCACCAGGAGTAAGGGACACTTTGATGACTCTGCAGTCTGAGTAGGGCTGCTGCCTGCCAGCATTTGAGACTTGATAGGTGGTGCAGGGGAAGAGTTTTGGAATCATGCAAGACTTATGGGATTTTTAGAGGAGGAACCAAAACTGGGGAGAGGTGGAGAATCGAGGTGGTTTGGAGGGGCATAGATATGGGAAAATTGAGATATAAAGGGATAAAAGGGAAAGTTGTGTTATGGTTACAATAATTTGTTGGTTACTATTTTCTGATAGGGCTGAGATAAATGTAGGGAATTAGCACATACCCTTTAGCATTGATCTTGCAAATACAGAAAATATATGTCACAGAAAGGTCTTGGTGGTTTCTAGCCATTCTCTACAAATAATGGATAAAATATTGAAAAATAGAAAATACCTTAATAATTTTTAATGTTTTCATCTAAGGAATTTAAAATTTCATTGAGGAATTTTGATTTTTGTGTACATCGATGACATAATAGCAGAATGCACCATGGAAATATGTGCTGTTATTAAAATACAAGAAATGCACAGGATATAAAGTTGATAGCTGACCTGGTAAAGGTCATGGCTGCCTATAAATTAGCTAGTCAGCACATTGTTTTTTGTAGAGGGTTGCACAGATGTGAAAAGGAACATTTTGTCATTCTTGCAGGAACAAAGCAATTTTGATTTAGTTGTGGGTTTCTGTCTTAGTGGTGTAGTTTCTTTTCTTATTGCCTGGTAATTTGTCCCTTTGAGCCCTTCCAAAGGACTCAGTGTGCTTCTCAGAATTATGCAGGGGTATCAGTCTTCCAAAAGATTGGTATGAATCAGATGATAGGACCAAGAAAATTCAATAAAATAACCTGTTTCTGAGGCTGAGTTACATGATCCTATTTTTTCAAATCTTGGGTTCTGTATCTAAAAATTGAGTATAATAATATTGGACTGTTTGATCAGTGGTGCTTTAGATTTCCTCCTCCTGCAGCAAAATAAGGCCTAGTTTCCAATAAGTGGTGTAATTTTCTGCTGGATTGTGACATTAGGAGAAACTATTAGATGAGCTGGTTTTGTGAGAAGCATTTCAGGAAGAGGAAAAGTAAGTGTATCTAGGAATACCTTTCAAAGACATAAGAGTTTCACAGCAGTTTTATTACTACAGGAGAAAAAGTACCAAAACAAAAACAACAACAGTAACAAAATTCAGTAATTTCATCAGTATGAACATTTAAAATAAAATTATATTGGCTGAAACTGTCTTAAATAACTATTATTTTATGGAGTTCTAGTGAAAAAATTTCACTTTTCCATCAAAGCACTTTATGAATGTTTGTCCTGAATCGTTTTTCATATGTCCATGAAAAATTATTTCTTTAAAGGCATTATATGTCTTTAGAATTTGGGATGTTGAGATATTCCAAATAGTTCCATTATTTCAGTTTTCTTGTGAGCAGAAATTAAGGTGGAATTTCCCAATGAACCTGTGACAGTCCTCCATGGTTCTCTGCAGTGTTTTGAGGAAGTGAATGCAATGCAGAACTCCAAAATATTTGTGAGACCAGGTTTGTGTTTCAGTTTGTCTAGCAGAGGTGGCATTTTTCTCAATCTGTGTCACTTTTAAAAGGAAATCAAAATCTAACAATCAGTGCCTTTCACAGGATGGTGCCTGGACTTTCTCCACACTAACTCAT